CCTGATATATTTCATATTTTCCTATTGCTATTTGCAGATGACATTGTTTTGTTCTCAAGCACGATTAGTGGCGTACAGAATCAAATTAATGAACTTGAAAGTTACTGCGATAAATGGAAATTAATTGTAACACGAAAATTGTTGTATTCAAAAATGGAGGCAAATTGTCAAAAAAGGAAAACTGGTTATATAAAGGTATGCAGCTGGAGTGTATTGGCTTTTGTAAATATTTGGGACTATATTTCACCAGTGGCCTGTCATGGACGAGGCATGTAAAATATGCAGCGTTACAGGGACAAAAAGCATTAATTGGAATTATGAAACAGTTGAGTGTTCTTGGTAATATTAACTACTCTTCATTCTTTAAAATATTTGATGCCAAAGTCAGTCCAATTTTATCATATAGGGCCGCAATTTGGGGAATAACAAAATTTGACGAAATTGAAAAAATCCATTTATACGCATGCAAAAAGTTCCTCCGAGTTAAAATTAACACTTTTAACGCAGTGATTTATGGTGAATGCGGTAGGTACCCAATGCACATTCTTACAAGCATTAAAGTTATTAAGTACTGGCTAAAACTGATGATTATGCCTTCAAATCGCTTACCTAGGAAATGTTATAATATGATGTTGTTATATGATAAAGGTGGACAAAAAAACTGGGCAACCAATGTAAAAAACTTTTTATATTCTATTGGTTTTGGAATTACATGGAATACACAATATGTCGAATCACCTACGTTATTCATACAATCCTTAACGACAAGACTAAAAGATATGTATATTTAAACATGGAGTGAAAGGATATCCTTATCAAATAAATGCATGTATTATCCATTGTTTAAAAATGCCATAGTTCTTGAGTCATATCCATCCTGTGTTAATGTTAAAAGTTTAGAATAGCACTGGCACGATTCAGATGCTCTTCTCATGATTTGTTGATTGAAAGAGGCAGCTATATGAATGTAAAAAGAGAAAATAGAATATGTACACTTTGTAATTTTAACGAAATAGAAGATGAATTACATTTTCTCCTAATATGTCCATTTTATGACCGGTTGCGAACAAAATATATTAAAAGATATTACTATGTCCATCCAAATGTGATAAAATTCTCCTCATTGTTAAGTAGTAAAAATCCAGTTCTTCTACAAAATATTTCAATGTTCATTTACTATGCTATGATTACCCGATCTAAATTCCTCTCAAATGTAACATAACTTTATGTACTATAGGCCTGTGGCCTTCTCAGTGCAAATAAAGATTATTATAGAAAACAACTGAATATATACGAATAGTGGACTACATTTTTTATTAAGTATGCGCGCTCTCTTGCTGGTTGAGACCCGTGAAGATCCGAGTTAGAATTGAACTTCAGCAACCCATGCTAGTCGTAAGAGGCGACTAACGGGATCGGTGGTCAGGCTCGCTGACTTGGTTGAAACATGTCATCGTATGCCACTTGCGTAGATCGATGCTCATGCTGTTAATCACTGTATTGTCTGGTCCAGACTCGATTATTTACAGGCCGCCATATAGCTGGAATATTTCTTAGAGCGGCGTGTAACTAAACTCACTCACTCACTACAGGCCGCCGCCATATAGCTGGGATATTGCTGCGTGCGTCGTAAAACAAACTAAACTCACTCACTCACTCTTGCTGGTTGGTGGGGGTTGGAGATAAGAAACACATACAAATGCAAATGGCCTTAAAATGGCCTGAGCTAATTTCTTTGTGTACGTTTGTAAATCCTTTTTGGGAAGATACTTTCATTGCTTGGAAAAGGAATAGATCACATTTCACCACTGATCTGAACAACTCAGAAAATGTTTAAGCTGAACCACTGTGGCTGAATCATCAATTTAAACAGTCCAAGTTTATAATACGAAACTGGTATACAAAAGGTGTCCATTTTATAAAGACCCCTGTAACAAAAATGGACTGCTCTCCTTCGAAGAATATAAAAGTAGGTATGAAGTGAGAGGTTCAGTCTTAGATTCCTTACAAGTTATACAGTTTATTCCGAAATCCTGGAGAGATACAATAAATAATACGAATCATAACCATTTGACCTTACATACATCTGCTCTTAGGTTGGTCTCTCCTGTGAAGGGTTGTCGAACGTTCTACGATGTGTTGTCTAAACTGTCAGAGAATCATTTGCCGAAGCCCTGCTCTAAATGGGAAAATCATATTAACATAGATAGCCCTTGGAAAAATATTTTCACAACCTACAGAAAATGTACCAAGGACACAAAACTTCTGGATATTCAATATAGATTCATTTATAACTGTGTGTTTACAAAAACAGAATTGCTGAGAATGAATTTGGTGGACAGCGATGTTTGCTCCTTTCGTAAGTCTGAACCTGAGAGTATAATCCATGTCTTCGTTGCCTGAACATGTTTGAAAGAATTTTGGAATATTTTGGAATAATCTGAAACAGTGCGTACATAGAACATGTAATATCGATGTAAACTTTTCAGTTTTTGAGATACTGTTGGATATTGATATCACACCCTTCTAGCAGCTGAAAGATACATTTATATCACGAGTTTAAAAACCAATGTATTTAACATTCAAAGTTTTGTGAAAACTCTTAAGGACACTATATCTATTGAAAAGTATCACCAACAGTATCCCAAAATTTGAAAGTAAATGGCCGAAAGTAAGGTCATGTTTATTGTGAAAATGAACCTACCCCTACTGTCATGAAACATTGTGAACATGTGCAGAACTTGTAAAATGTCTGAAATGAATAAAATATTAAAAAAAAAACCCAAAAACCCCCAACTTGTATGTGTACGAGTATATTTCATAACTGTAACTATCTGTCAATGTATTGAGGTGAGGTGAAATTGGGTTTAACGTCGTGCTTGAGAATATTTCGCTCATATGACGACGTGCATGCGTGTGTATGTGTATGTGCGGCTGCTTGTACTAGCCCAGCCTGAAGCTGGTTTTATAGTGCTAGCCCACTGAGATACCATGCCGCAGTGAAGCATGAATACCCCACTCAGACACATTATACTGACTCCGAGCCGACCAGTCCTTGATGTACCCATTAATGCCGAGCTTCAGGCAGGGACCAACAAGTACCATATTTTAACGTCTTTTGGTATGACGCGGTCGGGGATCAAACCCGCGACCTTCAGCTCTCCCGGGCGGACGCTCTAACCACTACACCACTGAGGCGGTCTCAATGTATTGACAAGACATTGATATGATAACATGATGACACATGAGCCATAGGATCTCCGGATCCATATTGCTGCTTCCGTCCATAAGCACATTTTGTTTGGGACATATTAGTTGAAATATTTATAGTTCAGTGATGGTACTTAGGTCTTCAAAATTGGAGGATTAGAGGCTTGATGGAATAGTGAATTGAAGAATAAGAGGAATGAAAGAATAAAAGCTTGAAGGATTAGGGCCTTGATGGATTAGCAGATTGCTAATTTCTTTGAAATAGCCACTGATGCTAAATTGATGAAATTCACCATTTACAACGAACCCGCTAACAGAAACTGTTTTTCAGCTAGGTTGGTCACAGTGTGACAGGCACCATGTAGTCAGGCATGCTTGTTGACAAACAACGCAGATCAGTGTTCTGTGCTTGTTACAACTTTATTGTGAGGAATGCGTAACATTTTATTCAGTAAAAGGCCTCTTGACCAAAACGCAAACAGAAGCAGGATCATGCAAGCTCAACTGATATCAGATCTACAATTAAGGATTCATTTACTTGACATATACATGGATTTCTAATAATAGCAGTACCCTTACTTTGCATGTTGAGTAACATAACGCACGTCTGAATACTTTTCAGCTGCAATAGGTACACCTGGTACAGGAGTAAAAACTATTGCAGCTACAGTTAGTGCAGGAGAAGAAACTGCAGAATTTGAAACCACACCCACATTAGTCAGGCACTTAATCGCCAGCACACCAAGTCAGTGAGTGGTGATAGGGATTAGATGCTTGGCTGTTGGGGCGTGGATTCAAATCCCAGATGGACTCAGCCCATCAAAAGTACTAGAATATGTACTTTACTAAGAAAGTGTAATCCCAAATATAACATGAGTTACATTTTACCACTTTCTAAATGGCATTTGTATTCTTAGTAGAACGAATGAAATTCTCATCTACTGATCTATGCAGTGTACCTCCACAGACTCAGCATTCAGATATAAACTTATCTAATAAAAGGAACAGCTATTTAAATAATATTTCTGACATATGTTTGATCTCCACAACAGGACGCTCGTTTGTTCCTCTACAGCACTTACAGCAAGTCCAGAGGGCAATGACAAGAGATAATAGAAGAGAAAAGATGGCAAATGAGACATCAATACTTTCTAAGACTTGGTTCCCCAAACTCAGCTGGTGGAAGGATTTGGGGGATGTCTTACTTTGAACACGATCACTTATAGCCCTAACATTGCTGCATAACACCCAGCCGGAAGACACGATGTTGTAGGTACTCTCCATGAATTCAAACGTTGGTAGGAAGGCGAGACAGGAACACAAATACTGACAGCAACTTGGGCCGGGTGCACATGGACATGTGCATTGGCAGCACAGACACTTACACGGGTCGGTCGTACACAGAGGCTCAAGCGGGTCATATCTGAGACAAGGCTCTTGACAACAACATAAGCAGCACACAGGACGACAACAGTCGCAACTGCAGTACGTCGTCAAACAGGACAATGCCGACTCTTCAGAATGCAATGCCATGAGTGTGATTTCATCAAGAGCAACTCTTCGGACAGGAACCTCTGGGAGGACGTCATTCTTGATGCACCTCCTGTTGTCGTTCCTCCGCTTGCGTTCGGTTAGTAATTTTCCAATATATTTGCCAGGAGGGCTAGGGCTGCACCACCAATAGCTAGATTATCAGATATCTTGAAGTTGTCTTCACCAAACAGAAATACAATCGCCGTGGTGACGAGCACGTTTCCAAGGGAACCAAGTAACCTGAAGATGATATCGCAGCATCTGCTACATTGATGCTTCTCATGGATGCGTTTAGCGCATGTCTCAAGTTTACGTACTGTATCTAGATTCTGAAATATTACAAATATAATATCACAGAGTGGCAAACTTACATGAAGCCATCGTTGTTTTTGATAAAACACGACCGATGGCTATTTGCTAAACTATAGCGATGAAAGAATATGTCCGAAGTCATTAGAAATATCCGTTATACGTTTCAGAAAAATGTGTTATGAATCACCATCAGGTAGAGATGACACCAGGTGTTAGCCTAAGGGTAGACATATGCTGCCCCATCCCCTATGTCGCGTCTCCTAAGCACATGCACTAGTAAGTCGGGACGGTGGGGGTGGCCTAGTGGTTGAGGCGCTCGCCCGTCACGCCAAAGGCCCGGGTTCGAGTCCAAAAATGTTCCCCGCTGGAATTTTGCTAAAAGCGGCGTAAAACTAAAGTCACTCACTCATTATTAAGTCAAATACTCACTTGACAAACAGGGGAACAGATGGTACAAGTCAAACTAGGAAAATATATTATACCTACATGCGTTCTCAGTACACACTTAAAGAGGCTAGTATGCCACGATTTCGCATTGATCCTTGTTACAAGAGTATTTATTGAAAGGTGAGGATCCTCCTTGTTGTAGCCTTTGTGATGAGAAATTCACTGTCGGTGTTTGTCCTGCTTGACTATGAAATTTTACTTCACGAGGGGTTAAACTTTGAAAGATGTTTGTATTTCTTTAAATGCTTATTTAAAGGATTTGCATTCATTGATAAAAGTACATTTCGGGATATTTTAACTCGGTAACGCTTGTCTGTCATAAATATCTAAGCAAAAAGTATATACCAAATTTGTAAGACATTCCAGAATAAATCTCTACTGCTTAATGAGAGTAAACATTACAAAACATATCTTGTAAAGTTTTTTAATAAACACACTAAAATCAATTCAGGATAAACTATCCCAAGTTCGGAAAAATGATGCACGTTCCTTTTGGAGTGTTAAATGTAAAGCAGGAACGGGCTCAGAACATTCCCCACAACAAATTGATTCTTTGTTACTTTGTTTAAACGCAAAATGATGAGCCACCTTAGAACATAATTATGATGATAACTTTCCTCATGTCGACACTGGGAATAGCTCTAAACATAACTCTGTAATACTGTAATTACTAGTAATTAAAAAAAATCATGTGTTGAAATATTAAAAATAATAAAGCCCCTGGAATTGATTATTCATAGATAGCTGTGTTACACTTTTGTACTTGACACTGGTATCTTTCCAGATAAGTGGCTAACTGGTTCCATGAAACCAATGTATATAATAATGAAGGCGATATTAAAAACCCTGAAAATTAGAGACCAATAACACTACTGAGCTGTTTTGGAAACCTTTTCACAGCTATTTTAAACAGCCAATTTATCGAATGAAACCACATTCTTTCTGAAGCTCAGACTGGTTTCAGAAAACGATATTCGCCAACAGACCATATTCTCTTTATAACACCTTTCGCAACTAATAATATGTCTAAAAAAGAAAATATATTGCGTATTTATCGATTTCCAAAAAGCATTTGATACCTTCTGGAGATCAAGGCTCTGGAAATGCTTTCAGGTGATTTTTAACATGTAACAAAATATAGAATCATGTGATTGTAACGGCGGTAATTATTCTTATTTCTTTTTAATGTAAACTTCAAAGCGCTCACACATAACACCTGTCATGAAAAACCTCCACTGGCTGCCTGTTAAATCAAGAATTGACTTTAAAATATTGTGTTTTGTCTACAAATGCCTCAATGGCATAGGCCCAGAATACTTGAAAGAACTTCTTACCCCGTACACTCCAGAAAGACAGCTCCGTTCTCAGAATCTGAACCTACTCTCTGTGCCTCGGTTCAAACTGCAAACTTTTGGAAGGAAATCCTTTGTCTGCTCTGCCCCTCTACTCTGGAACTCTCTCCCTATCACCATTAAATCAGCAGTTGACTTTTATTCCTTCAAACGACTTCTCAAGACTCATCTGTTTTCACTGCATTATGACTAGCAACTAGTCCCTTATTGTATATATGTATATTATCCACTCACTTTGTTAGCGCTTTGAGCATGGGCCTTGTGCATGGAAAAGGCGCATTATAAGTTCACATTTATTATATTATTATTAAACAAGGTGTCCACCAAGGAGAGAACTTGTCTCCAGGTTTGTTTTTATCATTTCATTATGACCATGAAGATGCTTTAGCTTCAGGTTCATGGTATGGTTTACGACTTAAACACGGTGATTTTCACAACCGCTTAGATACGCTTATTACACTTTTTGCATTGCTTTTATGCTGATGATACCGTCCTTACGCCCTCTGACCCTGTGATTTGCAAAATATGTTAGATTCTTTCATAATTATTGTTAAAAAATGGAAGCTTTTGTTAACTCATTCAAATCCAAAATTCTTATTTTTCGGTGGATCCAAATAAAGAACATAAAAGTTTCAGTATTGGAGATACTATCCTGGAAAATGTAGATCATTATTCCTATCTTGGTATTACACTATTGCATATGGCGAATTTGGTAGATTCCCAGGTGTAAATGTTATTAAAAGCAGAATGGTATGATTTGGGGCTTAACTTTAACCGGAAAATCGTCAAAATTGTACTTCTTAGTGTATAAATTGATATTTAACAGTTATATGTTTGGCGATCCTGTACATAAATGGATAATATATCTTAAGAGAATTTTCAACTATCTTGGACTGAGTTTCATCTGGAAATCTAAACATTTTAAAAGTATATTGTGGCTTAAAACTGTTATCAAAGTAGATTAAAAGTATTGATCAGCAAACATGGATAAATACATATTTTGTAAAATAATAATGGCTAGATTTAAGAAATAACCCCAATAGCTTGATATGTAACTTGCTCGATGTACATCATTCAAACTATCGGTCCATAGTTCTTCCATCGTAGAAGAAAATTGATCAAATATTCGGTTTAGCATGCAAACAGTTAGTGTGGTTTTAGTGATACTTTCAGATATATATAACGGCTTGATCTAAAACGAACCTGGGTCCTCGGCGTGACAGGCAAACGCTTCAACCACTGGGCTACTCACTACCCCAGCATGCAAACAACTGCCAGTAGCTAGACAAGTGGTTTAAACCATGATAGGAATCAATGCAGTTTTAGAATAGTCACTGTAAGTCCCCGACGTCCTTGGATTTCATTGCCACCTCATATGTCTTGTAATATTTTCCAGTTCCTGTCAAATGATTTGCTGATCTGTTTAAATATTCTTGCCACCCATTTTTGTTTCTGTTGAAAGTGCTCTCTTCGGGGAAATTTTCAACATGGGAGGTAATCGTAGATAATTTGGTAATTGGATTTTTTTACCTCTTCAAACATGTCCTATGCAGTAAAGTATGCATTCGTTTTTAGGTAAGTAGACGTTTTGTCCAGGTTAAGGATAATAGAAGCATACCTCTCCATCAGGTAGCAACGATTCCACTTCATCAGCCATCTGCAAACAAATATCTGTCTCTCATTCAAGATATGTTTATCCCTTGACACAAATACATGTTTGAATATTTTGTTACAATTTTTATTCATATTATGATTTTACTTTTCAGATAAATGTCTTCATCTTGACATATTCAAAAATAGGCAGAGAGATGTATTTAAAGTACTGTCGGAAATAGAAACATATTTTTTTCACATTTATATCTACAATGTATGAAGTTAATACACATTATTGCATATGAAAGTGTGACATATCTGTTAAAATTACGTTCGGCCTAATTACAGTATAAGTGGTAGGGAAATAGGAAACGTTAAAAAAGGACTTTACTTGGGAGAGATTAGTGCAGAAATGACCAATGCGGTTATTTTCTAAGCCCAAAGAGACTTATTGAGTACAGACAATGGCTTTATGCAAATTAGTGTGTGCTGATATTGTATTTCAAAGAACACTTCTTACATGCCCATTTTGAAATTAGACTTAGCTTCATTGTAAACGATATCTGGCGTAAAAAATAATAAGTTTATTACTGAAACTAGTAAGGATGTAGCTACATGAAGCCTCACAATCACTATGAAAAGAAACAGGTAGGGGGGTTCCGTCTCAAAAGCAAAACCAGGACGGGTGTCACAGACGGTGGTTGGGGTCGGACTAGGTGATAGAGATATCAGTAAGATAAGATAATCCTTTAGGGGACTTAAACTGGGGGGTAGTAAACGACATGTCTTAACAATTAACATATAATATCCAGTGCTGTCGATCTTGGGGTGGTATTGCCACCTATATATTTTGAGACATTTAATGCGATGGTTGATTTAAGCTTTTGTTTGGGTACCATATATCAACATAAACATTATGAAGGACACGTAAGATGATAATCAATAGATGAGACATACTCAATACACATGAAAAAGCATAAAATATCTTTCAGATGACCCCTTGTGCCTGCAGGCAGCACATGCGTTTCATGCCAGGTGAGTCGACGGTCCGTCGTCATACCTGGCTGAGCGACCTAATTGCCATCTATAGTCTGATGTATTGTTTTCAGCAGCTTTTCGTATTTTTTGGGTACGTTTTGCCCGATTTTACGAGTAAACATGCTATTCTGGATATCCTATAATTACATATCCCACTGAACGCCCAGTTAGGCCGATGTGGGTTATTTCGACATATGATACTTGCAGTTGTGTATATTTTAGGTATACAGAGTAACAGCCTAAATATAGTTTTCTTTCTCTATTTCCGACTGTAGTTTGGTATTAGTCCCTAGTGACCGTAAGTGCGATGACGTGAGAACAATTTGACTGAAACAAGGTCATCATTCTAAACGTATAGTAGTCAAAGTCAAAATATGTTTATTTGTATGTAAGGCCACCGGCCCATATACAGCGGTTACAAAGAAGGTTCTTATTTAGGAGGATAACAATTGTTTTCTTAACATAATAGCATGATGGATATACAGTGATAATCTTTTTAAAATGGAGACATCGCATGAGGAAACAATTTTGTAAAATGCTGCATTATTACTTCTGATTGTAATACAGTTACGGAGATAATCAGAACGGATTTTATCATAGACTGGACATTCAACAAGAAAATGTAATTCGTCTTCAGTGCCTTTTTTACAAAATGGACATGATCTATAATTTCTAACAATGGACAGTCTTCCTCCTTCATTTACTTTTAAATCTAATAGCCCCAATCTAAATTTTACAAGTAGCAGTCTCAGATTCTTTGTAGTCACGAGGGATAAATATCTTTCTGGTTCTAAAAGGGACTTAAACTATCTGTAACAATCAAAACGGGAGCTTTCTTCTAACCTCGAGTGCCATTCTTGTTGAAAAATACATATACAGCGATCTCTAAACTGGTTCAGGAAAACATTGACATTACCTACGCCTTGGTTTAACCAGACGATACCAAAACCGTTAGAACAAAGAAGGTTCCTTATATGGGAAGCCCAAGTTTCTTTGCCGTTACTGTCTAAATGTAGAAGCATATTGTAGGAAATTTTCGGGAGACGGTGATCATGCATTTGTACTATCTTTAGCCAGTATTTTAAGCATCTAGTTTGAGCATTAATGAAAACTGGGAATCTCCCGCATTCTCCATATACCATGTCGTTAGGGGTAGATTGTGTAACGCCTCAACATTTCTTGCAGGCCAGTAAGTGTATCTTTTCAAGCGCTTGGAAAGGTTGGAAGCCCCATATTTCCGGAACCATTACAAAGAATAGGCTGAATTTGTACATCAAATAATTTGAAAAACACGTTGTGGGTAAGGAAACCAACGTTTTTATAAACGGACATGAGGTATAACAGTGCTTTCTTAGCTCTGAGAGCTAAATCTGCAGCACAATGTGTCCAGTTAATAGTAAAGAAAAGCTTTACACCGAGGTATTTATAATGATTTACGACATTAACAGGTTTAGAATTAAAACACCACTTTTCCTTCGAAGAGAGGGGACCACCTTTTCTAAATACAACAATATTAGTCTTTTCAAGATTTACTGATAGCGACCATTCTGAAGAATACCTTTCTAGTATGTTTAGTTGGTTTTGTAACCCAATAATTGAGGTAGATACTAGAATTACATCGTCTGCAAAAAGTAACATAAATATTTCAATAATGTCGGGAAATAGCTGGACACCATTCTTACCTTGAAGCGAAATATCATTACATAACTCGTTTATGAAGAAAGAGAACAGGATAGGGCTCATAATACGTCCTTGTCTTAAACCGACTGGACAATCAAAAAAATCAGATAAACCACCTTGACTGCGTACACATGATTTGATATTTAAATACAATGACGTAAGCATGGTGTACATTTTGCCTCCCAGGCCAGCATTTCTAAGACAAAACCATAGTTTGGAACGATCAACTGAGTCGAACGCCTTTTTAAAATCAACAAATGCGACATACAATTTAGATTTGCGTCGAGATAAACATTTCTGAATAATTGCATAGATGGTGAAAATATGGTCTGATGTGGAATAAGACTTCCTGAATCCTGCTTGACATTCGGGAATTTTATCGTGCATGTTTGCCCACAGTGTAAGTCTATTATTGAGAATAGATGTAAAAGCTTTACCTAAAATACTCATTAATGATATACCTCTGTAGTTGTCTGGGTTGTTTACATCTCCCTTTTTATGAACTGGGACAATAATTGAGCGTGACCAGACTTCTGGAAAGTAGCCATCATTGAATATTTTGTTAAAACATTTACTAAGAAATGGCAGAATTTCAGAACTTGAACATTTCAACATTTCCACAAGAACCAGATCGAGACCAGGTGATTTACCACATTTAAGACTATTGATGGCATTCAAAATTTCACTGTCTGTAATATAGCAGTCTAGCACCTGTCTGTCTATGTCATCGAGTATAGGGGGGTGAGTCATCTATAGAGTTATCTTCATTCTGGATAATCTGAAAGATATTGTTATTCTTAAAGACTGACTTAAAATGGACAAGCCATTCTGATTTTGATATCTGATTACTGGGGCCTGATTTTTGTCTGAGTGAGCGGACTCGTTTCCAGAAAAGGGATGGGTTATGTAAAGAGTCGTTTAATTTTCTAAGGTTGTTTTTGCATTGGTTTATTTTGAATTGTCTACAAAAAAGCTTTATATTTATTTCGTTCCCTACAGTATAAGGCTCGCTGGTTATCAGAGCGATTACGTCTAAATCTTCTAAGTGCTTTTCTAGCACGTTGTTTAGCTGCTCTACACTCTTTGTTAAGTCTAACTTTAGGTTTCCTATCAAGGTTAGTCGTCTTCCTCATACACTGTGCGGACTCTAAAATAGTTTTGACAAAGTCGCTTATTGCTAGTTCTATATCGATATCTAACGCATCGGTGATTACATCATGCAACAGAGATAGTTTAGGTCGCAAGATGGATAAAAATGTATCCTTAAGTGAATCATTCCACACAACTTTCCCTTCTAGATTAGAAGGATTTCTAGTGGAGAGTGTACATGCGAAATTACAGGTCAGTTCTAATGGAGAGTGATCAGACTCAGATCGGTCACCAATGTTTAGTTTCTCAATAAACTGAAAGAAGGATGGAGTGCAAGTAAAATAATCATTGACGCTGCAACCCTGCTGGCCTATATATGTACATTCCCCTTCCATGTCATAGGCAACTCTTCCATTTACAATATAAAGTTGTAGAGCATAGCAAAGGTCAAGAAGTATACGCCCAAATTTATTAATCACCTTGTCATGTGACTTCCGGTTTGACACATTGACGTCATCATGGCAGAGAGTGTCTCTCTGCATGTATTCAGCACTCTGTGCATCAAGTTCATCTGGAACATTATTCCCTTCTCCTGTTCTCGCGTTCAAGTCACCACAAAGAACTATATCCTAGTAGCAGGGACTAGACCACGCAGAGAACATGTTCTGTGCAGTACGGGACACGTACCAGGTCATTGTGACAATTGTATATGTGAAGTAGTGGTCACTAGGTCATGGTGACAGTTTATATGTGAAGTAGTGGGTACTAGGGTATGTTGAACTAGCGGTACCTAGGCCATGCTGGCAGGTGTATGTGTGAAGTAGTGGGTACTAGAGCATGTTGACAATTGTATATGTGAAGTAGCAGGTACTAGGGCATGTTGACAAATCTATATGTGAAGTAGCAGGTACCAAAGTGGGCATGGTGACAGTTGTATATGTGAAGTAGTGGGTACTAGGGCATGTTGACAATTGTGTATTTGAAGTAGCAGGTACTGGCGCGTGGTCCTGTGCTCAAAGCTCAGGTCACAAATCGGTGAAGTTAAGCAGCGTCGAGCTCGGAGAGTACTTGGATGGGTGACCGTGTTTGGCAGCTTGACTCCTGAGAGTTTCTAGGACTTGAGTCCTGCCCTACAACGAAGCACATGTGACACATGTGGTCTCACCTTAGGCAAGTGAGTTTGTTCAAAATTGTCTCTGTTCACCCAGCAGGAAAATGTGTACCCGGTGGAAAAAGCAATATGACTATAACCTTCTAGCGCCTAACAGGCAGCTTGGGTTATCCGGGGGTAATAATGTGCTGTGCCTTGATTGTCAGCGCTATGATCATACCTAGTGTGGAGTTTGGCGCTATATAAATGGACACATTAAATGGACACATTATTACTAGGGCATGTTGTCAATTGTGTATTTGAAGTAGAGGTCATTAGGTCATACTGACAGTTGTATATGTGAAGTGGTAGGTACTAGGGCATGTTGACAATTGTATATGTGAAGTATCAGGTATTAGGACATGTTGACAGTTTGTATGAGATGTAGAGGGCACTAGGGCATGTTGACAATTGTATATGTGAAGTAGCAGGTAATAGGGCATGTTGACAGTTTAGTGCAGTATTGGGTAAAGGATAAGGATGCCAGTTCTATCTGTTGAGGAGCCAGCTTAGGTCACCGTGTGCAGTATCTGGCACTAGGTCAATTGTATGTCTCAAGTACCGGGCACTTGGCCATGGTGACAATTTAGTCTGCGCAATATCGGGTACTGGATTATGATGCCAGTTCTCTCTAATGAGGACCCGGATTAAGCCACCGTGACAGTTCAGTATGTGCAGCGTAATACTACACTGACCTGTACATTAAAGTAAGCTAAAACCACAGCACTACTCTAACACTGAATCAACTTGCAAGAATCCACTGTGACATTAAACCGTTGCTTAATAGAACACATTAGGTACTGACCTTACTGGAGTAAGTGTGTCTTCTCTCTAACGCTCTCAAAATAAATGCGACGACGAAATTGGAGGTTTAACTTCGGCTTCTGGTGTAAGCCAATTTCGCCGACGGGGTAGGTGGGAGCTTATATAATAAATAATAAATGTTAATAAGGGATAAACCACCTTAAAAATATAAATGATGGGGCGTTAAACCTAAGTTGAATTTAGAATAAAAACATAAATAGAGATAAAAATAATAAAAAGCCAAGTTAACTAAAGGAGAAAGAAGTAATAAGTGATAAGGAATAGTGATTGTTAATAAGTAAAAGTAGAGTTGAAATAAACGATAGGTGAATGTAAAGGGGGCCTAGGGGGTGGGTAACGCGGGAGGGACGGGGGTTTGTACTAAGAATGCGTCCTTCTATGCGGATTTATACTTGAATAAGAACTGTATGAATACGCCATCCGAAATGACAGTCACTCCTTGTAGTCAAATAGGAGAGCACAGTTATTCAAGTGGAACGTGGCTATAAATGCACCCATTGTAACTCACATGCAATGGTGTCATTGACAAATGAAAAATAGGATGTTGCTAACCGTCGACAAAACAAAATACCCGGAGTGTCGACATCGCTTGGTCAACATACCGTGACGGTGTTAATTAAAGAAAGATAATGTTTGCTTGGTGGTTTGCAAGTGGCTATGGCGGCTACAGCTATGCTCGTATCATGAGTAAGTTGATTAAAGAGAATGTCTTTTTAACAATTTGCAAGAGAATTAAGGTTTCAAAAACAGACTATTATTTTACGTTATGCGAGTGGAAGGATTACCATTTTGGAGTTTAACATGCAACAACATCCGGAAAGAAACAGAGAGCTTACAAATTATTTTGTGATGTTGGGAGTAGAAGGATTATCGAAATGCTGTTGTAAACATTTAGCATTTGGGTATAGATAATAGATCATGAATATTTTGTTACTACTGTCAAAATGGCAAATGCTATAGTGCGGGTTACATTGATTGACAAAATTCATAGAGGTCAGAATCTTTACCACAATGGATTCAAGTACAGAATCAACAGACGCAGAGCTCAGAAAACATACTGGAGATGTACAGATGCAACCTGTCCATCATATCTGCAGACGCACCACTAGGTGAAAAGGCGACACAGCTGATGGATTACGTTACTACCACCTGGGTAGAAGGTCCATGGAAACTGCCAACTTGGAAATTATTTTGAAAATGATGGACACAGAACTAACAATAATTTGGCAGGTTGGCACAACAAAATCAACAAGTATGCCATGAAGACACATCCGAATGTATTTGAGGTTGCGCGAATGCTACAAAAAGAACAGTCATCTACTGAAGTAAAAATTCAGCAGATCCAAGGACAGCAGAGAGATCCCGTCCGTAGATGTCGCTATCGAATCATCGACGCTAGGATTGGATCTGTGAAAGCCGACTTTCTTGCCGACAGACTTACTGACTTGAATTACACAGATCATGTGTCAGAGTTGTTCTTGGCTGAACATTCAGATTACTTTAGTGCACATATAAAGGAGTTTTGGCAAGAAGAAATAACTGGACTCATCTTTTATATATTTATTACTTATACACCTGCAGAAATCACTTATTTATATAAAACACACACACACACACAAATATATTGTGTGAGCTTTATGAAATATATATGCAAATATGTTATATTGTGTGACATATGATAGATGCATGATACATGCATGTTGTTATATTGACTGAATAAATATATTGTCTCCTATATATATCACACTCTGTTTTAATTGGTTTGTTTATTTCGTGAACACTGGGAGTGAAGTCACTCATGTAGAACATCACCTCCCTTTTCCCGGACTGTCGACAAGTAATTTGGACGGATTATTTCTTGTTGTCGACAGTCCGGGCATAAACCCATGCAATAATTTTGGGGCGCGTTAGGTGGCTAAGGCGCCAGGCTAGTTATCCAGCGAGGTTGAGGTGCCGGGATCGAGCCGACCTGTGACCGGGTGTAAAAACCTTGGAGTCAACTTTGTGTGTGTAGACTCTTTCCGTGTTGTCCCCTTGTGTACAGTCCACAACCCTTTATCGTACCTTCATGTAAAATACTTTAATTTCATTGGTCGATGACGCTTTAACAAGTTTCCGTGTCACCCCTCCCAGGAGGGTGACAACTGGAAAAAATATTACCCACTGCCACGGTAACCGCAAAGCTCTCCGCCGAGAAGCTGAAGCGCTTACCATCGTATGACGTCATAATATGACGCATGCCGTGCTCGGAGTTCGAAAACCGTTCGATCAGCTGTTTTTGTGTTCACTTTGTACAGATTTATTTTCCCGACTTCCACTTCTTTATGTAAACTGTTTTATACCTTGAGTGGTTTGCACACTCAACTTAAACACAATTAACCATTTTTATAGCAGTTTTAAGCTCGTCAGAATATGTTTCACTGATTTTAAAAATCCAGTCGAGAGGCAGACGCCATTTTGTTTACATGTCATTTAGTCGGTCGCGATCTTTAAAATAAAATGATGTTTTGTAATCGGGTAATACGGGCTGATGTACACCTCTTTGTAGCAGTGTCACCCGTGCCGGTATTACCCTCGAGAGAAGCATACAACGTACTTATCTTACCGCCATGTAAGATAAGTGTAAGTTGCGGGTACAGCAACGTGCAGTGAACTTGGAAAAGTACTGTGACTATGTGTCCCAGTCCACGCAGCTATGAATGGGTACCTCGTTAGGATGAAAAGCCACAATAACTCGGTGCGCCCACTGGCAGCAAGAGTATATGCCCCAGTTGAGATTGATAATACGATGTGTCGTTGACATTGATATCCAATGATCAACGGAAAAATACCTGCGCCTTGAGCATGCACTAGTTGCGTGGATATGTGCGCCCTATAAATCTCTATAAATATCCTATAATAATAATAATAATAAATCTCGTTTAAAGAAAATCTGGAGCTCAGAGCTAAATGCTCGTAACAAAGTCAAAGCCACCAATACTTTTGCTGTGCCAGTCCTTTCCTATTCCTTTGGAGTAGTTGACTGGACGAAACAAGACATCCAGAGTCTTGACCGCCTGACCAGAAGGATCATGTCTGATAACAGAGCCCACCACCCTCGTTCCTCTCTTAACCGTTTATATATGCCAATCAATTCTGGAGGTCGGGGTTTGATTAATGTGGAGGCTCTTCATGACAGAATTTTATTGTGTACTTTTGCACATATTTATTTATCGGATGATCCTCTGGTGATGCATGTGAAGACTCATGATGAAAGCAAGGAATTCCACAGCTATTTTAAGCGTGCCAAGGTCGTTGGACAGAATCTGAAATTTGAGGTTGACTTTGCTGATGGCGATGTACTGCTTGACGGTACAGCGATGGGAGTAAACCAGGTGAAGTCCTTTACCAAGTCTGCCCAGAGTCGGTCTTTTGTGGAGAAGCTTTCTGAGAAGCCATTGCATCGTGTGTTCATGCAGTGTGTTGAACAGAATAGCAATCCCAGCGACTCCTTCGCCTGGATGAAGTCGGCTGGTCTTAAATGTGAAACTGAGGGCTTCCTTTTTGCTGTTCAGGACCAGTCACTTCCCACTCGTAATCGCCTAAATGTGATTCTTAAAGAGAATATTAATATGAAATGTCGACTTTGCAATGAATTTACAGAGACTGTCCAACACCTTGTCAGTGGATGCCCTTCCTTGGCACAAACAGCATATCTTAAACGACATGATGGCATGGCTCGTTGCTTTTTACTACCGTCTCCGACATGCCTGTGGCTTTGACTCCCGAGGTCCATCCATGGTACGACCCTGAACATGTCCAGGGCGTCATGGAAAATGATGCTTTCAAACTTCTGTGGAATAGGCCCATATACAGCCTCAGAAGACTTCCAGCTAACAAACCTGATCTTGTCCTTTTTGATAAAGCCAATGAATTTATATATATCATTGAATTTTCTGTCCCTTTTGACACCAATGTGATTGGCAAGATTCAGGAAAAGCATGATAAATATGCGGACCTCGCCTTTGAAATGTCTCGCTTGCATCCCAAGTCCACTGCCGTCAGGCTCCCCATTGTTCTCGGTGCCCTTGGTTTGGTACCTCCTGATCTCTTGGCGCAGATCAAGAGAGTGCCCGGGTTCTCCACCGGGAGTACAGCCCTTCTGACACTCTGGGTAATGCAGAAGGCTGCAGTGTTGGGGAGCCTTCATATTCTCCGGAAGGTTCTTGGTGGGTTCGACTAGGCAGCGTTTCCTGGGAGAAGTCCCATTTTCTGTCTGGGCTGCATGTAGAGGGGGCAAGGGCCCTGAGCTGATGATGAGCCTTACCAGCCTGACTGTGCCAGGATCACCCAAACCCTCTCTGCTGCATACAATCTTGAATCTGTAAAACATATAATAATAATAAGGGCCTGATGATGTACGCCTCTCCGTGGTGGGCCTAGATAAGGGAATTATATTCCCTGAACTAAACGTACATCACCCAGTTAGGGCTGAACCCCCGAAGCTGGTTTTTCACTGGGTTACCGAAAAACAAGGAGCAAACCATCTTTTAACTCCGCAGCCCAGTCAGCCTTCCTCCGGTAGTGAAACCAACCAAACTGGAGATGGGACTTGCCCCAGGGGAAGGCACAGAACCCGACCAAGAATATCTTGGTCAAACCACCTTAAATCCACACTACTTGAGTGTGCGAGAGCGACAGGATGGCCTGCAAATCCACGTATCAATGGCAAGTCGCTGAAGCTGCATTGGGACAATGCCATGCCCATGTATGCTTACCTGACGGAGCAAAATCTTCGAGATCAATTCCGGCGGCTTAAAAATCTCATGCCCCGTGAGCTAGTTCAACCCACAACTGGTGCCCGTCAGGAACCTTTGCATGAACAGAATGCTCAAGCGGCAGCAGTCCCAAAACTTCTAATGGACGTCCGTGTCAACCTCTTTCCTCTTGCTGATGGAAACTCTTCCGGCATAGAGCCAATTGGCCCCGAAATTTCGGATGCTCACTCTTCCTCTTCTTCAGTTGCAGATCTTTCCGAAAACCCTGTGTA